GCCTTCTTCACACAGTAAATGTGTTTTAGCTTAAAGTAATTAATTAGACTCATTTAAACTGGTCGCCATACGGCATTAAATGAGAATCCGGAAATGGGCTATATGCACGCATAAGTTCCGCATTTGACGTAAGGATGCTCGTCCATTTCCGGTTGTGTCGATTAAAGCGGAGGAAAACCGGAGAAAACGGGATTATGGCAGAGTCTTCAATATTTACTGTCCTCCCGTCTTTGAAACGAAACGTACATACGTTTAGATGTAATTTTATATATAGTTATGTTTATTTAATATAATTTTAAAAAGAAGCGTAAACACAACGAGGGGTGTCTGTTTTATCTGTTTTTGTGACTAACGTTTCATTAGTATAACCATGGAGTATAAAATTCAATATACATTCTCAGTATTGGATTGGACTCTACGATCGGCGGAAGTTATCGAGCATCCTTACACCTTCACCGGAAATAACGCCGTGCATAGAGTAGGGATGCAACGGTACACGGTAAAATCCCGGACCGTTCGGTCAGCCCTGCACGGGACAATCTAACCTCGTGTCCCGCGGGACTTCGGTTCTGCCAAGACTGCCAGAGTTCGTGCTGATCCTTTTACCGTATTTTCCGCACTATAAAAGGCGCACTTTAATCTTCTCAAAAGACGACAGTGTGCCTTATATTCGGGAGCGCCTTACTATATAGCTATGGATCAATTAGTTAACAACGCTCCGCATTATTAAATTCGCCCGCGAACTCGCGCTCGTGTCCAGCTTATGCCCGCTTTGTTTGTCACACGGCCAGTTCAACCACGTATAAATCAGGTAATGTGTGTGTCGCTCACGAGCGCTCACTCTAACAGACACACGAACAGACGGCGCTGCTCGCGCGTCATAGACGTTCATAAAGCGCTCCCCGTTCACACGGGTCATCTCATTCAAAACAACCCACTGTTGTTAGCGAGCCGCCGCACATTGAATACTCATAGGCTGCGAATGTAAGTTACGTGCCCGCCCCAGCGCGCTCACGCTTACTAAATAAACGCCTCACCTCGGCTCCACGTAGCCTACTCTCTACATTCCCAGCACAGATGCATAACGCAAACCCAGTCAAACGTTTGACTGCAGTATATTTTTGCACAAGAATCTCTCAAAAGTGGATGAGTAAATAACATTGCACTTTGTATCCTGAATGCAGTATTTTTTTAAATTATATTATTTTGCTCTGCTCTTTTTATTCAAACCACAAGCTAAGTTATGTTAAAGGTAAAAGTGCACTTTTTCTTTCACATTGATCACTTCATTTACCAGTTATCAAGGTTTGGATTTGGGATCCACTTGAATATTTTAAAGTTTCCTCGTTTACATTTTGTATTTCATAAGTGGTAGTTGAAGAGGTTCAGTACAGACTAGAGTGTTAATTTATTCCATACACATTGATGTTATTACTGTGACATTCTGTTTATGCTCATAAGAAAAATAAAACATATTTTTGGGATGAAATAGCAGTCTCTTTCTGCACAAAACATGTACCGAAACCGAACCGAGACCGTGGCCCAAAAACCGAGGTACGGACCGTACCGTGGGCTATCTGTACCGTTGCACCCCTAGCTTAGAGCCCATTAAATTGTGCTCACGAGGGTTATTACGTTTTGACTATTTGTCAAATTAAAAAATTTCAACATTTTCTTTTATTCCTCCAGATAAAAAATTGGAACAACCGTATATAACAAACGTTTCTGCTTATAAGTAGCACTTCCTAAAACACTTCAGAACTGTTTAGAGCTTTCTGGAACTTTCTAGAACTGTTGAGAACTTTCTGGAACTTTCTAGAATGAGGCTATCTGATCCAATAATCTGAGATTTAAGCAATCACATTGCCTTAGAAGAATCTTCACTTGAAGAAAAGTGCCGAATACCACTCCAAATGCAAATTATTGGACACTACCAGTTTCTTGGATTCAGAAATCAAAGGAAGAATGGAGCAAATAGTGGAAATACCAACACTGTAAAAAAAAAAAAAAGGTTGCTGTCTTAAATTTTTAAGTACAATCAACTTGGATGTGTTAGTCATTTCAACCTAAATTACATTAAACTGACTTAAAAAACGTATATACATAATAAATATAAAGTTCCAAATGCCAAAAACATTTATTTATTTACTTATTTCAGGGTGACCTTCAAAAAAAAAAGATATATTGAAATGATATTTGGGTAATACTTTATTTACTCTAAAAAATGCTGGGTTGTTTTAACCCAATTTTGTGTCAAATATGGACAAACTCAAACATTGGGAGTATATAAAAAACGTATATACATTAAAAAATATAAAGTTCCAAATGCCAAAAACATTTATTTATTTATTTATTTATTTCAGGGTGACCTTCAAAAAAAAAATCAAGAAGATATTGAAATGATATTTGGGTAATACTTTATTTACTCTAAAAAACGCTGGGTTGTTTTAACCCAATTTTGAGTCAAATATGGACGAACTCAAACATTGGGTTAAAAATGTAATTCGAAAATGTAACCCAATGGCTGGGTTTGTCCATATTTGACCCAAAATAGGGTTAAAACAACCCAGCATACGTAGGTACATGTACTATAATAATAACTGTAAATTATGCATAATTATAAACTAGCCCCTTAACCAAACCCTATAAATCTATAGTAAGTACATGTAGTTAATTAAAATAACTCGGTACTTATTAGAGTAAGTACAATGTAACTATCTCAAATAAAGTGTACCCGAAAGTTAATTTCCTCGTTTTTAGGCCTAGTTCTTTGAATTAAAGTTACATGAAGTTGTTAAAAAGTTCTAACCCCTGTCCTCATGCTTCGTCCTGCTGTGGAAACTTACTATGGCATCAAAACTCAAGTTCATATGGAATGACCTCGCGGAGAGGCCCTCCTGGTGTTCGTAATTATTAAAATAACATTTTCAAAGAATCATCTGCTGGGTTCGCAGGAAGAGCGTCTTTAGAGGCGAGAAGAGAAAATTAAAAGGCTGATGTGCAGATGGAGTGGCATCCATCACCCGTCTGAACTCTCAGGTTAAGAAGTTGTTTTGTTATCTCCCGCTCGCCCTTTGGGTGTGATTAAGCCTTGTTTTCCCTGTCCGCCTCGTGTACTTGCGCTTAAATGTCAAAACTATGGCAGGAATGCTGGAGCAGAGAGGTCAAATGAGGTCATACGGAGGATGTAAACAACAATGTTTTCTTTTCTTTTTTCTTAATGGACTGATCCACTTAGGGAAAGAGCGCACCGCGAGCGTAGCTTGATCCCACCGGCCTCCGTGTGTGGATTCCTAGCAGGGATTTAGGTTTTAGATCGCAATCGGACCCGACCTGAGTTTTAACACCGGCCAGGGAAGGATCTAATCATCTGCACAATAGATTCTCTATTCGACACGCCGATGCCGCTGAGTGCCTGATCAAACTGTAATAAACTGAGTAATTGGTTGAGTTCAGAGAAAAGGTCGTCTGTTTGATATACTGCCCCTTTCTTTGTGATGAAATATTCCTGCTGGCGTTCCTGTAGGAATTTGAACACGAGTGTTAACATTGTGCTTTTCAACTTGAAAACAAAAGATCATAAGCGTTGGACATGGTTTGAATTAGCATAAACGTAAGAGAATACTTCTCCCATGGGAGTCTGCTTTAACGGCGCATATTTAGTTAGGGTCTTTAGGCTCAGCCTTGACATTTGATATTTTGGTCAAGTCCACATTCCCTGTCAGGTTTACCAAACCATAAAATAATGTCCATGGGGAGACAGAAACTATGCGAGTCTTTAGCTGAAATTGTGGCTAAATTCTGGCTGCGCACCAGCTGTACAGCAACACCTGGTGTTGTGCTGGAGAAACGCAGTTGGGAAACATTTTAGGGCATTTCTGTATTGTTTAAAATGTCACATGGTTAAGTTTGTTTAGGGGAAAAAGGTTTTTATATGTGAATCTTGTTAACAGTCTGTTTCTCATAAACAAGCTTCTCTCACTTTATGACCACCATATGTGTCATCGCTGTCTCTCTCTCTCTCTCTCTCATCAGTGTATGGTATTTACCATATTCACATACCATGGTATTTGCATGGGACTCTAATGTACTTTAAAGAATGTTTTTGGTGCATGACACACACACACACACACACAAAAAAAAAAAAAAAATCAGGGCAATTACATGATACTGATATTAGTATGCAAAGTCTGACCTCTGGTGGACAGATGGACTGAATGAAGGCAGATGAACTTCAAATAAGAAAGATTAGGATATAAAACAATCATTTCATGGTATAGATTTATATTTATTAGGCTATATAACATTTCTGTATTGAAATTACAAATTGTTCATTTAAATTCATTTCATTGTTATCATTTTCTTATACTTTATCAGCATTTAAAGCATCAGCTATATTTAGCCTACTTTAGTGAAATAATAAATAAAAATGGTCAAATAGGCTACAACATTGGGACCAAATAGGTTAACTTAGCCTAATAGCCTTATGTAGGCTATATTAACAACGCTAAAACATCGATTTCTTGTAGCCTATTCCGTATTAAATAATAAAATATTAAAAGTGTAACCTATAATTTCACAAATAAAGAGGGTTGACAGCTTGTAAGTTATAAAATATATATGGTTTAAAATTAAATTATGTGCGACTAACCATTTTAACCGTACCTTCTGGCTCTATAATTCCGGTTTAGTTTTGTTGGCTGGAACTGGTTTAAAAATCTCATAGACACAGCGCACAAGTTAGTCATTATGTGGTCATAGTTAGGGCAACAATTACAACCTAGTTAGTGTGTTCAGGTATTTGCGTTGTGGCTTGTTTAGTCACTTCCGTAACGGGCCCTCCCTGTATTTCTATGGCACAACGCTATTATGTTACTACGGTGAAGACTGTGACTAACAATATTCATAAAACAAGCCCTGGCTTCTGAAATCGAACAACGTAACCTCACCGACAACAAACAATTAACGTACGCGAGAGCTTGAGATACATTCGACTTAATTAATATTCATGAGTCCGTCCTTCGACGTAATAGAATTCTGGGCGGGGTTTTCTCCAGCTTGCCCACCTGGACAGGAGATCTGTTTCACTTTCCAAAGGAAAAATCCTCGGGAACTCATTCAGGTGAGTGAAACAAAAAATATATTTTACTCAATTTAGATTATTAAAGGCCTATAGCCTAACTGTTTTCTGTTTCGTTGCTCTGCGCTATTTTTATTAAAGAAAATTGCTTAAAGTTAGTTTTAACGATGCTAATAGTTTGATATAGGCTAAAAGTATATATGAGATACTAAAGAAATGTATTATATCATGTTATTTGTGAAAAACGTTGGATCGTATGCATTAAGTAAGAAAAGTAAGTCATGTGGGTCTGTTCTGAGGTAAATACACATAAGTTACACTTAGGCCTACATTGATACATTTCGATGTATAACTGTATGTCGAGATATTGAGCACAACTATTTTTTTGCAGGCTTGTAATAGTATATTCTTAAGCCTATATCGTCTATAATCTACTAGCCTATATCGTTTTAATTGACATTTGCAGGATTTTAGTTACAGCATATTTGATAATGTTATTGAGTTACATTATGGTTCTCTTTGTAGATTAAAAGAGTTGTGGATCCTTCAGATTAGCATATTGTAGCAGGAAAGGCTAATAGCTGCTTTTATTTACAGCCCTGATTTAATTTTCATACTCATGATATGATGTACTCATACTCATTAAAGTATCTGTTACATAGGGAGGAGTATTGTTTTTTTGTTGTTTTTTTTTCCTCGCCTGGGGACATGTTAACCTGCTCGCTTACCAACTTGGCCCTTGGGGTAGATAAATAGTTGTCTTAGTTCAGAGAGTGTGTTATCTGTAATCTAGTCAAACATTTCTACCTCCCCCACCCTCCTTAGGGAACATGGACAGACCTGGTTTTTCTAAATAGCAACATTGAGAACACAAATGCCATTTTAAGTCACACAAAAAGATCCTTGAAGTCTTGGATTGTGTAGTTTACACAGCAGATCTCGACTCTGTGTTTTTGTGTGTAAGACCCAGGCTTTGTTGTTTATTGATGTACAACCCAACAAGACAGCAGGATGACGGCTCTTTGTGAGTCGTTCTGTTGTTTCTGACTGAGATCTTGTCTCAGCTTGTCAGGAATTTTAAGCTGAAGTCTCCCTGGTTCTGTAATCACACATCCCTCCTCCACCCTAGCTCTCTGTCTGTCACTCCCTTTGATTTTGTGTAGCCTAGGTAAACCTGTACTTACATCAAAAACAGAATGTTTACCCCTTGTTTTATTTATTCTTTACATCTGTAATGCTATTTAAAACATTTTCCTGACAAATCAATAATAAAAATAGTGGTAAAACTTTACAATAAGGTCTGATTTGTTGTTAATACATTAGCAAACATGAACTGACAATTTTGTAAAGTATTTATTAATCTTTGTTAATACTTTACAACATAATAACTAACAATGAGCAATACATTTGTCACAGTATTTATTAGTCTTTGTTAACAATTTTTAATAAAATATAACTGTTCATTGTTTGTTTGTGTTAGCTGCGCTTCATTAAATAATAACAGATACAACTTTTTATTTCTATTATAATGTATTCGAAAATGTTGAAATTAACATGCTTTGGACCTATTTTTCATTTATTAAAAAGTGTTACCCATATGATTGTTTATTGTTTGTATATGTTAGTTCACAGGGATTTTAACTAATGTTAACAAATGCAACTTTTGATTTAAGTAATAAATCAGTAAATGTTGAAATTAACTACGATTTTTAAATGCTTTAGAGGTATTACTCATTGATTGTTCATGTCAACTAATGTAGTTTTTATAATGTTAAATTAACAAATGATACCTTATTGTAAAGTGTCACATAAGATAACAAAACACACATTTCAAGCAAAACATAAAAAAAGGTTTGTTTTCAAATCGTTAAATAATTCATACGCTATTCGGAATGAAGAAAAAAGTATTGTGACTCTGAATCACATGTATATAGTCTTCTGGATCAGACTATATCATGTGCCTGTGGTGGTTCGTAACTGTGTTTGTCTGTGATTTGATTGCAGGCAGAATCATGGCCACTCCCATAGCCAACTCCTGGGAGCTCACCATCCAGGTGGACCAGCGCGAGGGAGACGAGGGCATGAAGTTTAAGTTGCGGGTCAAGGGGGATCTCCACATCGGGGGTCTCATGCTCAAACTTGTAGAGAAGATCAGTGAGTAATTTACAGAGTTATCTGTTGGAGAACCAGCACATGAGTATGAACAGGACCATATGGACAACCATGTAGGAACTAGGAAGACACATCATGGCCATATTCCAGGATGACAATGTCAAGATTCATCCGACTCAAATTGTGAAAGAATGGTTGGGAGGGAGCATGAAGAATCATTTTCACACCTTAAATTAATTAAATTAATTTATTAAACGAATTAATTTACAACGACAATGTCGTTATCTTGACATTGTCATCCTGGAAAATGACCATGATGTCTTCCTATATGGTTGCTTAAGAAATGAAAGGCTATACACTCCATCAATTGCACTGCTGCTAAACACATAACATGCTGGAAACATAATATACACTGCAATAATGATTAAATGATATGCTCTTAAAGGCCCACTGAGGTGTCTTGGCACGCGCAGCTTTGTTTGATGCATTGACGGAGTTTCCACTGAAACAGGAAGCTAAGGCTGGACATATTGAATGGCCCCTCCCCCTTTTCAAATAGCTAATAGCTTTTAATTTACCTCACAGACTGTCATACTAAAGCGCTTTTCCACTACACAATACCAGCTCGGCTCGCCTTTGTTTGGTTTTCCACTGTGTAAAAGTTGTACCTGTACCTGTTTTTGAGTACTTTTTTTTTTTTGTATCACCTTTCTGAGCGAGCTGAGGCGATACTAAAATGTGATGTGAAAACAATGCCGAATGCTGATTGGTCAGAGAGAATAGTCACCATTCACTGCGTCAGAATAACCCCGCCATTTTTAAATAGTTTGGCCAGAGATAGTTGCTAAACTTACTATTATTATTATTATGGCAACTCGGAAGAATACGCCGTGGTCGAACGAGGAGGTGCAGACTTTCCTTTGTTTGGTTGCCGAAGAGAGGATCCAGCGAGAGCTTGATGGGGCAACGAGGCGTCGCTATGACGACGGGTTACTATTTGTGGCGGTACTGTCTGCAATGGAAAACGGAGCGAAAAGTGAGCCGAGTCGAGCTGGTACTTATAATGGAAAGGCGCCACTTGACAGCACCATGGAAGCGAATCCGAGCGCTGATGATATGCTGAATTCAATAGTACAGTTGTGAATAAAATCTAACCATTTCAATCTTAACCAACGTACATATATTAGAAAACAAAATAAAACTTGTGCATTTGAGCAACCGAACACACATCTCCAACCCATATTACTCCTTGAGACGTCAACGGTCACTTTGGCCACGTGGTGTTTATAGCATAGAGGGCGAGACACGTCAGATTGTAGAGGACAGAAGATGAGTGATGAGAAGCTGATCCGCGGTGATGTCATAAACATCTGTGATTCATTTTAGCGGAAGTGAGAGACTGTAAGATTTGATTGTTTATATCCTCTAAAATGCTAATTTTGTCATTGTTTTGGAACACACCAGCTTATTCATAACCTTAAGGCTCACATATTCATACTAAAAGCTCAAAAACTTCAATTTTGATTTCAGGCGGCCTTAACATTTTAACTTTTTTGGACTGGGAAGTAAAGCTTCTGGAAATACTTCATATGTTGTGTGTATGATAACATATTAGTGTGTAATTCATAAAAAAAATACTACACTTAGCGCAGTAATGTATTTAAATTTCATTTCATTTTAACTGCAGTTTGTTTTCAGCCTCTGTTTGCTACTTTAATGCAAATTCAAGATTTTCATTTGGATTTAAAAGAAGTTCTGAGTGCAAGCAAAGCTTTTTAAAAACACGTCCAAAGCTCTTCAAAGTAAGAATAGTGTTTTGTAAGGATGAAAAGCAGTCAAAGTTTATGGGAAAAAAACAAAGTACTCTGGATCCCGTTCAAGTGCAGTTCTAGAGTCCTAAACACTGGTTGAAATGCACAGGTACGCCCATGTTTGCCTTACGTATCTTTGTATAGCCTCATGCTCAGAGCTATTGTTCTTTGACTCAGGCGTTGTTTGCCGACACAGGGTCTGAAGTTCACTGTGTAACCGTGTTAGCCAGAGAGACGTTAGCAAAACATCCTGCATTCCTCTACAGACTCATCAGACAACCCAGTTGCTAATTACTATGCTTTGCCGTGTAGCTCTTTAATTGTAAATGGTCATTCTTGAAGCCATTTGAACACAACCTGTTTATAGTCAAGGTAATAGGCTTATTACAGTACAGGCACCCCAGAATTTCTCTTGTAGGCAATTACAGGGCGTGAGTCAGATGATGATCAGTGTGGAGGATGAAGGAAATGTGAGTAAAAGAAGGATCATCAAGGTTTAAATGAATTTGTCGTGTCATCAAAGATTGCCTCATATTTGTATTGCTCAGTGGCAACTGGTCTGGATTATGTCGCGGTAGTACACATTAAACCACTCCACATATAACATTTTTCCTGTTCAGCTCTTTAATAATAATTTCCTCAAAGTCCTATACTAACGTGTGCAAAGTAAAATAAAAAATAGAAATGCAAATCACAGTATTTATATACTGCTACTAAATATTTTGCCTCAGTGTACTTGGTCTTAAAAGTTTTATGTTATTACAAAAATCTGTTTCACTATGGAATTGCTTATGGGTTTTTTTTTACTTTTGAAGTCCTACTGTTGTGCTCTATATGTGTGTGTGTGGAAATAAATGACATCAGAGCATTGTCTCAGGCTCATGTTCTCACAGTATGATGTTCTCTGTGTCAGAGGCTCCTCAGGACTGGTCCGATCATGCCATCTGGTGGGAGCAGAAGAGCTCCTGGCTGCTGAAGACACACTGGACTCTGGATAAATATGGAGTCCAGGCGGACGCTGACCTGCGATACACCCCACAACACAAACCCCTGTGTATCCAGCTGCCCAACATGAAGACCATTAAGCTCCCGGTTACCTTCTCTGGTGTGGTCTTCAGAGCCGTGGCTGAGATCTGCAAAGCGCTCAGTAAGAACAAGTGCAAAGGAAAATAATGTGTTTGTTATGATATAAAATATTGTTAATATGATATCACATTGCAATTGCTTACAAGAAAAAGAAATAGGGTTAATTTGGGATAATTGGGATTTTATTTCAAAGTAATTTCCATAGCAAAAGGGTCCAAATGTATCTTAATTGTGTAAAATGAATGTGCTGTAATACTAATTCAGGTCTGTGTGATTTAAATACCACATTATATCATAGATATGGACAATCATTAAAAACAAAACAGTTATGATTAACACTTTTGATTGAACCTGATACTAGAACTGGAATTGCCGAATTTAACTGCCAGCGCCAATGTGGCACTGAAGCACTTCTGATATGGCAATTAGGTGTCTTTAGGCAACTGTTATAATTGCGCATTGTTATATAGGTGGGTCAGAACAGGCATACTTTAGTCTGACTTTAATGCAGCATTGCGTCTTTACTTTAAAAATAGACACTTAATACATAAAACAAAAAAAAAATGGTTAGAATATTTTATGAATTTATTTTTTATAATTCCAGTTAATACCTTTTTCCATTAATTCAGTTTTCCATAATTTCTTTCTCTACATTAGTTGATTCTTTACTAAACTGTGTATGTTTTTATTCTTTGTTTTCAGACATTAGAAGATCAGAAGAACTTTCTCTTCTGAAACCAATAGATGAACCAAAGAAGAAAAAGAAAAAAGACAAGGGTGCAGAATCAGCCATTGATGAGATATTAAACATGGACATTGCCAGCGGAATGGCTGGAGGTATTTATTTGCTGAACATGGCCTTTTTGCTTTTGTGGATTTTTTTTATTACAATGAAAAAACAATAATATACAAAACAATAAAACATTCATTCAAATAAATATACATTCATTTCTTCAAAAATAAATAAATACAAACAAAAAAACAAGGTAAATAAAGTTAATTTTAACTAAATGTACAGTGATTAAGAGTAAGCATTATGCATTTGGGCTTCCAGATAAAAATCTTATTAAATGAATATTTCCTTTTGTACAAGTTTTAAACACTTTAATATGCATTTTTCTTCTTCTAGAAAATACTGTAGATTGCTTCTGGATAGGTATCAACAGTTTGGATAAACATGTAAGTCTTAAACAATTACAAGTTTACATATATACTCTCTACAGGAGCACTTGGTCTGTACAGTAAAACGATGACTCCGACCTATGACCCTGAGAGCGGCTCCCCTGCGTCGTCCACCAGTCTGTGGTTCGGCGAGAGTCCCCTGACGGCCAGCCAGCCCAACCTTCCACCGGAGGAATTGGCCAAACTCTACAAGCCTCTTACTGTGGAAGATAAAGCAGCCATTAATGCTGGGTAAGAGAAAGACACAGCCTGGCACATTTACATCACCACTCAAAAGAAGTCTCTTACATTCACAAAGGCTGCGTTTATTTGATAAAATATACAGTAAAACAGTAATATTGTGAAATATTATCATGCAAAGCTGAATTTTCAGTTTTCAGTGTCACATGATCCTTCAGAAATCATTCTAATATGATGATTTACTACTCAAGATACATTTGGATTATTTTCAATGTTTAAAACTGTTGTGCTGCTTCATATTTTGTCAACCAATTTTCTAAAACATTTTTTTTTTTTTAGAAATCTTTGAATAGAAGGTTCAAAAGAACAGCATATATTTGACTTACAAATCTTTTGTAACATTTGAAATGTCTTTACTGACAGGATGCATTAAATTACTGAATTACATTTTTGAATGATTGTGTTTGACCCCTGACCCTATGTCTCCAAGAATAGAGATTCCTTCAATGTCTTTATTAATAGATCTTCATACTTCAGTTCATAACACAGCTGGTTTTGATTCTAAAATCTGATTGGACATTCATTCAAAAGCGTTCAGTGCCATTACAATAGCCACACACATGTGATTTAATTGTTACCAATATATTACTCCATGAACACATTTTTTTCCAGCATTTATTTTAGCATATTGCTGTTTCTACTGGTTTATACAAGATATATTTCACCTCATTTACAAAGGTAAAATCCCAGTAGCACACGCTTTAAATAATTAATTGCCTAAAGTTGTGATAGTCGTTTCTTCCCTTTTGTCACGTTTATCCAAGCAAAAATGTATGACAGGACTTGATTTTGTCTATTGAGAATTGATTGGATTGTTGGATGGTTGTGGTTTGCTATTGGTGGATCTCATGTGAGTGACAGGTTGCCCCGCCCTCACGCCAGTAAACAGATCATCAAAGAAGAGACGGGAGGGGGAGTTATTCTGTTTTAAAATAAAGTTTTTTTTCTTTTCTTTTTACTTATTTTTGTTCTGCCTACCTTGTATGTGCTCCATGTACGTCTTTCTCTCTTTTGTATGTATATATATAATTCACTGATCTCTTATTTTTGTATAAATTATAATGTTTTTTTAACTTGCAATAAAAAATAAATAAATAAATAAAATAAAGTGCACTATTATTAAAACGCCTTGGGCAACATAAAAAATAAGAATTGTCATGTTGACTAATATATTGCTGAATTTATCTGTGAATTTGTGTACTCTAACTGAGACGTTGATTTGCAGGTGGCTGGATTCCTCTCGCTCGCTGATGGAACAGGGAATTCAGGAAAATGACAGACTCCTGCTGCGATTCAAGTACCACTGCTTCTTTGACCTCAACCCAAAGGTGAGAGACCTACTATTCCTTTAAAATTATACCACATTATATTAAAGAGGACCTATTATGCTTTTTTACATGTTCAACTTTCTTCAGTGTGTAAAGTTGCTATTTGAGCATGAAAAAGTTTGAGCACAAAACACAAGGGAGTTATTCTCTATATCAGTGAACACTGAACTCCCTGAAATAACTATTGTAGTTTTGAGTTTTCTTCTGGGAACAAACACGTCACAATATTCCTTGTTTTAATAACCCGCCCAAAGCAGATGAGATGGTTCTCACTGCAGAACATGAAATCCACACGGATCACCTTACATACACCTAAACCTACCCAACTCCGCCCCCTGATCCCTAAACCCAACCCTAATCCTACCCATCTCCACCCCTTGGATCTTGATCCAAATCCTCCCCGTGGATCTCATGTACTGCATTGGGGTGCTACTGAAGCAGATGCAAAAAAAGGGGGAGGTCTGATTGAGTTGAGTCAGTGGTGTGTTGAAACTCAAGGTTAGGGTAAGGAGCTTTGCGATTGGTCAACCACTCAAAGCGGTTGACCAATCACAACACACTGATCCAGCAGCCAGTCAGAGCACACTGCACTTTTCAAAAGGAGGGGCTTCATATAGACTGGAACTAAAACAGAGCGTTACTGACAGACTGGGAAGAGAGGAGCTGCAACAATATTAAATATGTGGAAAATAATGTTTTTGAAAATTCAAGCATAAAAACCTATTCCACTAGACTGCACAAACAAAATCAGGACTTTGTAAAAAGCATAATATGGCAATCTTTTAAGATGTGACTCAAACGTTTGATGGCCCGATATGTCTAAATGAGCTTTTTCTTCTCGTAGTATGATGCTGTGAGAATCACACAGCTGTATGAACAGGCCCGGTGGGCGATATTGCTGGAGGAGATCGACTGCACTGAAGAAGAGATGCTCATGTTTGCATCCCTGCAGGTACAGGACGGCTGTTCTCAGTTCCCCAGCCAACAGGGAACAGTCTCAGAACTGTGGCGGCTAGCATTCTGGCAAAGTTTTCTCAAAGTTATGAGCAAACTTTCATTCAAAGTTATCTGGTCTTTAAAATGTTCTCAAAATCTTAGCTCAAAAACGGTATTATAGATCATTCATGGGACTTTTTTTTAAACCGTTTTAGTTGGATGTTCATCTTACATTTTTTAAAAGTTAAAAATGTTACTACTGTTGATCTAATGTTTTACTAGTTACTACTGAATGTTTAAGTGAACGTTCAAAGTGACGTTTCCATAAAGATAAAATGGTACACATAATCTGAATTTTGTTTTTCAAAACGTTTCAAAAATGTTTTTAACTTTCAGAAGAAAAAGAGAAATCAGATATAACGTTTCCATATCTAAATGACGATGTTAGCAAAATGTTCTTAGAACATATTTTTTATTATTTTATTTCAGATTTATTCCAGAATATTTTTTTCCAGTTCCAGAAAGCAAGAAAAATTATTTAGACATTCGTTGGCAATTGAGATATTATTATAGGTTTTTTTTGTAGCTTTTGTTTATAATTTCTGTTTCTTTTATATATTAGTTTTTAGTAATTTTATTGCTTTGTGACATTTTTATATTAATATCTCTGAAGTAAAAAAAAATTAAATATATATATATATATTAGTAAAAGTTAAGCTAAAGGAAAATGAGAAAAAAATGAGAAAAAAGTTTATTTTATTCATATAAATTTTATTTCAAGGAAAGTTTCATTTATTTCCAGTAACAAAGTTTTCATGGTTTTAGTTTTTGTTAACTATATTAAAACATCATTTGACAAGTATGCTCTAACATGTAGTATTTAGTGTCATGACATATCTGAAATGGTTTTGAGTTACGGTGAATTCTTTAGTGTCGTCCTTTCTCGCCTGAAGCTACGAGATAACTTACTTTGAGGACAAAGGATGTGACATTCCACAAAGCAAAATAGTATCCAGTTACACAGTTTTGTGCTGGTGATCTATATCTATACTCAGTGTGAGATGGGAAATCTGGCTAACTGTGCCACTGTGGCTCAGGTCAGGTGGTAATTCGGACGGGAAAATCTGCTTTGAACGCAGGATGATGGGATACATGCCCGAACAACAAAAAAGACTGAATTTCATATGACCAAATAATGCTTGCACAGACAAGCATTCTACCACCTTTACTCACTCACTTTCAGTTGCTAAAAATCATTCAAACTCCTGCCTCGTGCAGTGTTATGTGGCATTGAAACTACAATGTTTTTTTTTATGTTAGCATGTAGTAAAGTTTGTAAATCTACTTCATTAGTTATTAACTGAGAACTCGCCATTAAAACAATTTATATTCATCCATAGGGGAAATGTATTATATTGTGGGTGTCTTCTGAGTCTTGAACTCCGTTATTGACTGACCAAAATGAGTTTTGGGTGCTAGTTTTTGCAATTGGTGTTTCAAATGTAAAAATACTTGAATCTTTTCTAGTATCACATCTGTAAACTGACCTTGTCAACGGAGCCACTGACTAATTCCAATGAACCAGAGATTGATGAAGTCGAGGCTGCGCTCTCAAACTTAGAATCTACCCTGGAAGGACGAAACGCTGATAAGATCCTGGTAAGATCTGTGATTTTCATGACATTATGATTCGATTTTCTTCATAAGGATGTTAGCTTTAGGACTGATATTAGGTTGCGGTATAATAGCCAGCCAGCTTGTTATATCTGGAATGAATCTGGCTGATATTTAAGGTAGTTTATACACTATACATACTTTACTTTATTTTGGGTCAGTAAGATTTTTTAAAGAAATTAAAACTTTTATTCACCAAGGATGCATTAAATTGTTTAAAAGAGACAGTAAAGACATTTATGGTACAAAAGTTTTTGATATCAAATGCTGTTTTTTAAAACTTTCTATTCATAAAAGAATCCTAAGAAAAATGGATCACCTTCCAAAAAAAATATTAGCATTGATGATAATAATAAGAAATGTTTCTTGAGCAGCATCATGAATGAATTGTGAATTTTGAAGGATCATGTGACACTGAAGACTGAAGTTATGATGCTGAAAATTCAGCTTTGATCAAATTACATTTTTTAAATGTATTCAAATAGAAAATAGTTATTTTAAATTGCAATAATATTTTATGATATAACTGTTTTTGATCAAAAAATGCAGCCTTTTTTCTCAACTTCTTGGTTTGAGAAAAAAAACGGCTTCTTACCATCTTATGAATATTAACCTGTGCTTTTCTTTCCAGGAAGATATCACTGATATCCCGAAGCTGGAAGATACACTTAAACTGTTTAGGTGAGTTTAAGGTTATCAAAATTGTGATAGAGAAAAATAAATCAACTTACTTTTCAGTATAAAAGTCTAGGTTGTTACAGATTTCTCTTTTAAAAGCCAAGCTTTTCTTTGGAAAAATAGTTTATTTGAGGTGTAAAAGGTAATTTTTAGGACTCTGATACAGATGATAAAACTATGTAATTAGATGCATGATAGCTTATTCATATACCATGGTTCATGTACAAAACAGTACCTTTTGTCAGTGAAACATTTAGAACTGCAATAACTACTGTATATAGTGCATATTCACTTACCTGTTCATTGTTTGCTCTGCAGGCCCAAACGATTGACGTTAAAGCCGTATAAGGAGTACTGGTTTGTTTTTAGGGACACCACCATTCTTATTTCAAAAACAAAGAGTCTGCCAATAAGGAGCCCATTGAGCAAACTCCATCTACGAGGTGGGCGGCCAATCAGAGACAAGATCGTTCATTTAATATAGCCAATGCATCAGCAGGATAATGCATATCATTAATCACACAGGATGTGAGGTCATTCCTGACGTCAACGTCACCGAGAGGGAGTTTGGCCTTAAGCTGTTACTGCCTGCAGCTGACGGAGATGAACGAGGTTTATATTCGCTGCGACAGTGTGAGTTTATATCTTTGTTTTATATGCAGATTGTTGCACATGTCCTTTTGATTTTTGATAAAGTGAAATATAAGAAACGTATCGTTATTAATATTTCACAATAAACATTTAGTGAACTGAAGAAATGTACATTACTTGATTATCATTTTTCAGAAAAATCATGTTAAATTGTCAAATATATCACATTAGGCTTTCGAGGAACGTTTATTGGTTAATT